ATTGATTTTTTACAGAGAGGAAGGGAGAGAGATAGAGAGTTAGAAACATCGATGAGAGAGAAACATCGATCAGCTGCCTCCTGCACATCTCCCACTGGGGATGTGCCCGCAACCCAGGTACATGCCCTTGACCGGAATCGAACCTGGGACCTTTCAGACCGCAGGCCGACGCTCTATCCACTGAGCCAAACCGGTTTCGGCTAAAGTTTCTTTTATCACTAAAGTTCTTGGATCTTTGTTGGAGTTAACTATCTTAGGAGAATTTCCCTTACACGCAGCAGACATAGAATAATGAAAAGTCTCAGAAAAGTGAGGGAGACTTCATGAGGATTAGAAATAGGATATCTGGTACCTGTAGCGCCCCTAAATATTTATGAAATATATGCCTACCTGAAGTCTAGCTCTTTACTGAGGATTTTGAGCCTATTGCTTTAGAAACATAATATTGTTTGGCAGTTTTAGAATTAGTACTCTTTCTGTGCAAGTAAAATATATATGAATATTTATTATGAAGAATGCAAAAGAGAAAGAAAATGGACTATATCTGGATTGTGCCTGGGTTTAGAATGGGAAAATACAGAAGGAAAGAATTAAACACTCAAGACAGGAGAAGGGGGAAAGGAGGACATAACCCTTAGAGGTACATGTATTTTTTTTAACATAAAATGCACAGTAGGAATATGATTTTCATAATGTATGCAATCAAATTAAAGGTAGAATAAGCAAGGAGAGGAATTTGTTAATAGTAATTATCTGTTGTGTCACTATTCCTTGGAGAAAAATTAAGGCTTTGTCATTCCAAGAGACCTATGCTCTTAGGTGTCCCCTGTGAATGTTTCGGCTGGGACTGTGCCCTGCCCCTAGAAATCTAAGCACTTGCATGTATGCACAGTCTGGCACTAGAGACTGGGGCCTCAGTTCCTCATAGCACCCAGGTAAGGAAAGGTCTTGTCCAAGACCACTGCTATCCAGGGACAGGAATTCCAAACAGGCCTTCTTTTGTCTGAAGATTGAGGAGAAGCAAAAGAGCATAGAGAAACAAATATATATATTTTTAAACAAACATACTTTATTACTGCACACTTTTTCTTTGTTTTAAATATGTTTTTATTGATTTCAGAGAGAGGAAGAGAGAGATAGAAACATCAATGATGATGAGAGAGAGAATCATTGATTGGCTGCCTTCTGCACACCTCCTACTGGGGATTGATCCTGAAAACTGGGCATGTGCCCTGACTGGGATTGAACTGTGACCTCCTCATTCCTAGGTTGATGCTCAGCCACTGAACCACACGGACCGACAAGTATTTTTTTAATAGTCTAATTTTCAGCAAAGTCGTGTGTATTGTCAAGAGGACAATGGCCTTTTGAACTATTTGCTGCAAGAACTTCATTTATAAAGGCCCGAGTCAGAGTCATTTGTCACTGAGGAGTAATGACAACCTGACTGTCTGGTCAGGACTCAGACAGAAGTCTGTAGGTGTATTTTTAAATTATAGCCTTTCTCAGGCAATTAATCCCTGGCATTTAGCAGAGGTTGCTGCTGCGTTTCTCTCTTGTTCCAGAGATATATTTTTCTTGTATTCGGTACTTGTCTTAGATGCTTGATTGTTTGAAGGGTGTTTTTTCCCTTATAAAATATTTTACAAGAAAATCTTACATTTTCTCTCTCTCTTCCTCAAATACCCCTTGGAGAGTTAATCAGAGATGCATAGAGTTCAACAGCTGGGAAAGCCATTAATAACTCAGTCAGCATCTATCCTGCTGGCTTAAAGGCAGTTTCTAGCTTCTGGCTGATGAGATTGATGAGGATTTCTCTGGTGTCTCCCTGCAAGTGTTTTGGTGGGAAAGTCCTCCTGTGGTGGAGGAAAAGCACCAGCACTCTGATCACTCTGGTCTTCACCTTTATTGTGTTTGTTTGTTTTTGTTAATCCTCAACAGAGGATATTTTTTCCATTGCTTTTTTAGAGAGAGTGGAAGGGAGGGTATGAGGGGGGAGAGAGAGAGAGAAACATCAACGTGAGAGAGACTTTGTCTGCTTGCCTCCTGCATGCGCCTAAACTGGGCTGGGAACTCACAACCCAGGTACGTGCCCTTGACCAGGAATCACACCTGTGACCCCTCAGTGGGTGGGCCAGTGCTTTTACCACTTAGCAGCACTGGCCGGGGCATGGTCTTCACCATTGTTATTTATTTTATTTAGGCTCCCCTTGAAAGGGCATGGACTATGTTAGGCCCCAGTATTTAGCACTCTTCTGTTTCTAAGATAAACCCTCTCTGTATCTTTCTTTTTTCCACTGTTCATCTATAAAACAACTTCCAATTCACTCCTACTGTCTCTGTCTGACCAGTTTTGCCTCCTTCATCTTGTGGAACCATGCTTCATGCTGATCTTTGTACTAGGACTGAAGTGAGTGGCAGAGTCTATGTAGTTTTCTAAAAACAACATTATTTTTTTTTAAATATATTTTTATTGATTTCAGAGAGGAAGGGAGAGGGAGAGAGAGATAGAAACATTAATGATGAGAGAGAATCATTGATTGGCTGCCTCCTGCATGCCCCCGACTGAGGATCGAGCTTGCAACCCAGGCATGTGCCCTTGACTGGAATCGAACCTGGGACCTTTCAGTCCTCAGGCCAATGCTTTATCCACTGAGCCAAACCAGCTAGGGCAACATTATTTTTTAAGTACTTTTAATTCCTTTGCTTTTTTTCTTGGAACTTTTACCAATCTTCCTGTCCCCTCCTTCTAGTAAGCCAACCCTCTGCAAATATCCTATGTGTTGAAATTTGTTTCCCCATCTCAACTCCTTATTATTTCTGAATTCTCCCTTCTTTTTAGACTATAAAACCTTTGACACCGTACCCATTTCTGTTTTTAAGGTTTTTCTGGTCAGTAAATGCTTGAGCTGTTTTTGTTATAGGCTGTTTTCTCCTAGATGTCTTTGTTTTTCTCCCATAGGCAGCATCATCTCATTTGTGTGTTTACCGTGTTTCACCTTTTTCTGATCATTCTGGGTCCTATTCTGCCATTTCTCCTTTGCTAGGGTTCTGAGCACTCTCAATTTGAAGTCATTCCTACATTTATTGAGATGCTACTTAGCTCCTCCTCCATCATTAGTTAAGATGTTAAGCTGAGGACCAGCAAATACATCTCCACTCACTTATGTGCCCTGACTGGGGCTTGAATCTGCAACCTTGGCATATCAAGGCAATGCTCTAAGAAACTGAGCTACCCAGTGTAATGATGCCTGATGTAACCATCAGATTGAGATGATGTTTGTTTGCTTGTATCTGAGCTGCTGATCTCTTTCTTATTTTCACACACACACACACACACACATACACACACACATATGGTGTCCCCCAAAACATATCACATTTTTAAATAATTATAGGCAGTGTTTATTATAATACATTTTATTTCAAAATTGAGCTATCACGTGTATATGTATGTATGTATTAATTTTCATATACTAGTATATATATCTTGTCTCTCTTCTGCCTCTTCCTTGATCTATAGAATTTCAAATCAAAGGAATGTATATAGAGAAAACAATAGTATGCTTTTTCTTTTGGGAAAATAAAAATCAAGTATTGACTTTTAATGGTTCAGCTTCCAGTATCCCTGGTATTGATTTGTCTTTAAATGTTCAGCATCCAATTCCACCAAGATATGAAAATCTTCCTTAGGCTTTTGTTTCTGACTTGTAAAGCACCCAGTGGTCCATTTGAAAGCCAAAGTGTTGTCTTAATTTTGGTTCCAGGGCCAGTTTGAAGATTATCTTATTAATCAGTCTCTCAGAGTTTCATTTATTTTGTGGAGTTTGGTTAAGCAGCTGATTAACTGCTCGGGCCAGCCAGTGCCCTTTGGCTTGTTGTTCCTTTGATGCATTGGAAACTAAGCCACGTGAAGTCTCTGCCTCTCTTTTCTTGTAGGATGCAGTGAAGTACAGTGCAATGAGCAAGGGCTTCAGAGTCAGATCTTCCTTCAATCCCGCCTCAGCCACTTACTAGTTGTGTGACTTTGGGCACTTATCTCTCTGGTCCTTAGTTTCTTTATCTGTAAAACAGAGCTAATAATATCTTATGGAATAGCTAAAAGTATTAAATGGGATAACATTAATAACCTTTGTATTAGAATTTAGTAGGTATTTTATAAATGGTGGTTATTACAGACTGTAAAGAAAACACCTATACTTTGTTCTTTTTACTGAACTGACCTGACATATTTGTATTGTCAAATAATTCTTTGTCATTGTCCATTTTTCAGCCTTTAAAAGAAAGGACTACTTAGTGTCTTTTTTTCACTTATTAGTGTTTTTTTTCACACCAAGGACCTAAACAGATTCATTGAAAGATAACCATTTTTGGGATGAAATTGATGAGGGAAGTTTTCTTCCTTCAAGATCCCCAAAAGCCAAAATTTCTCTTTATCTTTCAACTTAGAAAAATGTATCCATTCCAGATCCTTTAGAAGATCTAAACCTGGCTTCAGTTTCAGAAGCAGCAAATCTCAGAGATCACATTAATTCAAGAAAAACCTTTCTCCTCAACCACGTCCAGCATGGCCAGGGGTGAACCTGAGGAGGGGTGGTGAAGGTAAAGAAGACAGACAAGAGAATACAGTTGGGGCAAGGTAGGATCACTGTGCCTCGATGAGGAAACAGTGACACAGCCTGTAAGCCGAAGCTTTATTTTATAGTCACATCACACAAAGCAAAACAAGGGGAGTGTTCCACATGTTTACATTATTCTTGTGAGAGAATTTCAAATTTATTTCGTTACTCAAGTCTTGTTTTGGCAGCACTTGCTGCACCTCCTACAGCCCATTAGCTACCTAGGACTATAAGGTCAAGCTTAATTGTGCTGGGAGGGGTCTGCCCTCCAAGCTGGGACTTGTATGTGGCTCTGCCACAGGTCAGTCCGAGGCTTGACCCTATAGCTGCTCCCTATACTCCTCCTTACTGAAATAAATGCTCCTGGATCATTTAGTTGAGGTACTCACGCTTTGTACCAAGGTAAGAACTAGATAGTTAATCTTTATGAGAGACTTTTATGAAGGAGCCTTTATGAAAGCCTAGGTTTAGTTTTTCAACCTACTTTTTGATCTTTGGACTGTCCATATCTGGAATTACTTTCTAGTGAGCCTATGGTCCAGCCCTACCACCTAAAGACTTGACAGGAGATGATGTGGCCACAGTAAAAAGAGATAGAATAGTGGTAATGGGAGCATCCTGTTCAAGAATAAAAGCCCTGGGAAACTTTAGGAGAAAGATCAAGAAGGAGGTATAATTCTGTGAACGTACAAATCCTAGGAATTTTTACTCCACTCCGGGCTTCTGTGGATTCCTAGGTCTAGTGCAGTGGTCGGCAAACTCATTAGTCAACAGAGCCAAATATCAACAGTACAACGATTGAAATTTCTTTTGAGAGCCAAATTTTTTAAACTTAAACTATATAGGTATGTACATTGTTACTAACTTAATTAGGGTACTCCTAAGGGTTAGGAAGAGCCACACTCAAGGGGCCAAAGAGCCACATGTGGCTCATGAGCCGCAGTTTGCCAACCATGGGTCTAGTGGATTCGTTAGCATTGATTCATAGTATATCTCCCTTGTTTTATGGTCATCTTTAGTAGGCTTTTCACATGTGATTCCTTCTTGTAGGCGTTTCTTGCTGCCTGAGTACTTGCCTTATGCTGGGATTTTTCATGAACGTGGACAACCTGGCTTGGCTACTCACTCTTCTGTTAACAGGGTTCTGGCAGGTAAGGAAATGTTTCTGTGGATTATGAAAATTTGAAGTGGCAGGGAGCCAGGTAAAACTTTCCCCTCCTTTACTTATATTGGTTTGACAGCATCTTGACACCTGGACAAAAACTCTGTTTTGAGGTGTTGTACTCAGTTCCATATTTCAAGGCTAGAAACTGCAAGATTAAAGAAAACTGTTTCTCTTGCATATTTCTACTTCCTTCAGACGTCTTTCAAATTCCCCCTCCCATTTAAACTATTTTTTTTTCTCTTAATTTAGCATTTAAATTCTGGCTACTGAATGATAGCAGTGTCTTATTCAAGTTTCAGTTGGTGAGATACTCCTGAGCCAGAGCCTGTGATTTAATTAGGGGCTTAATGCACACCTCTCCTACCCTTTGCTACTGGCAGCACATGGACACTGTGGAATCTTCCAAGAAAGGAGGAGAGACCCATAGAGCTGGCTCAGAAATCTCCACAGAACAGAAGAGGCAGTTTTATGTGGCTGAATAGCTTAGTGACAGGGACTAAGATGCATGGTGCAACTGGGCTCCGAGACATAGTGTGTGCTGCTGCTTCTGGGCAGTCTGAAGAAGAAACTAGCAGAATTCTCTCTTTTTTTCCTGACAAAGGTTATTTCTCCATCACACTCTATGACCTTCTGGCTCATAGGTCAATGCTCAACCACTGAGCCATGCTGGTTGGGTTTTGTTTTTAGAGAGAGGGATTTTTAGAGAGAGGGAAAGACAGAGAGAAATATCGATGAGAGAGAAACACATCAATTGGTTGCCTCCTGCATGAGCCCTGACAAGGGCCCAGGCCTGGGAGGAGCCTACAATCAAAGTATGTGCCCTTCACCAGAATCGAACCTGGGACCCTTCAGTCTGTAGGCCGACGCTCTATCCACTGAGCCAAACCGGCTAAGGTGAGAAGGTGATTTCTAATGAAGCTGCTATGACAGCTGAAAGGCATGGGATCTGGCCTCCCCTGAGCAGTATTCTTGACCAAACATCAAGGCCTAGAATTCCCAGTAATATTTGTGCTTTCTCTGTTGGAGACCAGGACTTCGTAGGCCCAGGCATGGCCGGAAGCATACTACACCATGGTCTACTGACAGCCTCATTTGAGGAGGTTTCTGGCCCGAGTTGTAAACAGATCCCATGGCTCTGCTTCTTGCTTGTCGCTTTGGGTGGGGACATGTAGAAGCTCTTCGCTGGCAGATAATCACTTGCTGCCAGACAGCACTATGGAGCTCTTCTCCACCCTTCTTTGTTCCAGACATCTGCCTCCACCACCCCACACAGCACCTCCTGCTCCTCCACTGCTGGAGAAATCTCTGTTTCCTGGCATTTAGTTTTTTTGGCACAGCTGTATGTTGTTTTTTCTTCTTTTGATTTAATAACTCTACCTTCATTTTCTGTTCCTTATTTTATGCCCAGAGGTCTGACCCGAAGTGACCCAATTTCACTTATGGATACATTTGAATATTGGGGTTGTGTTCCAGCAGCCAGTTGTTTCTATTAAGAAACATTCTCTAACAAAGGTACAAAGGGCCATGAGGGGAAGGAAATCTAGATTTTTTAAGAATCTCACTCCTGAGTTAGATTAGCAGATGGTTTTCATTCATAATTAAACTAGCTTCTCCCATCCTCTCAAGATACATGTTACAGAGTGCCCATTGCCCTTTTCTTAAAAGCCTTCATTTTTTGTAGATATTTGGATGTCTCTCCAGTTTTTATTGACAATTGTCTTACCTTTTATTTCTGTTGAGAAAAGCCCAATAATAACAACAACAGCAACCAAAGAAAGCCCAACATTGAGTGCTTGCTGTATACCAAACCATTGGGAGTGATTTATTTATTTTTTAAAAAATCAATATTTTATTGATTTTTTTACAGAAAGGAAGGGAGAGAGATAGAGAGTTAGAAACATCCATGAGAGAGAAACATCCATCAGCTGCCTCCTGCACACCCCCCACTGGGGATGTGCCCGCAACCAAGGTACATGCCCTTGACCGG